TGCAACTTCCATTTTTATTTCTATTCAACTCATGCAATTGAATATGATATGGAGATTGTTAACATTGAAAGGAATAATGCATAATAAATGATACAGAGAAGGGAAAGTAGTTGCCTATGGCTCACGTCAGTTGAAAATTCACGAGCAGAATTACCCTACGCATGATCTAGAGTTAGCAGCTGTGATATTTGCCTTGAAGATTTGGAGGCATTATCTTTATGGTGAGAGGTTCGAGGTGTTCTCGGATCATAAGAGTCTGAAATATTTGTTTACACAGAAAGACTTGAACTTGAGGCAGAGGAGGTGGATGGAATTTATAGAGGATTATGACTTTCAGGATGGTCAGAATGATGGTAGGAGACAGAAGGGTTTTAATCCTCAGCAGTCTTAGAGTAGCTTTTCTAGATCGACTTTTCCTGTGCCGAGTGCTAGTTCGGGGAAAGGCAGTCAGGGAGACATTACCTGTTTCAAGTGTGGCCAGCTGGGCCACAAGTCTCCAGTTTGTCCTCAGAGGGGAGGAGTTCAGAGAGCAGCATCTCACTAAAATGTGTATCAATCTGGAAGTATGAAGTGTTTGATTTGAGCTTGAGTCTCATTTGTTTGTTGATATTGGAAGAATGTGAATATGATATATATAATTCACTGTTGTAAGTTCGGCCAGGTTCTGAGCCATGTTGATTAAGTTGGAAAGTAAAATGTATCTTAGACAATAGTGTCTTGAGGCTGTAAAATGAAGTAATTGATTATCTTGGTTGACCATCTGTTGAATGCTATTGCTTTATTCATTGCTTATATGTGGTTTAGTATATTTCTACTGGGCTGTGGCTCACCCTTTATGGGAACATCATTTTCAGGTTCAGGTGATAAACTACCTCCAAAGACTTAGCTTGGGAGGGTTTGGCTTCTGGATTGAAGAAGACTACCTTTAGTTACTAGTTGTTATTTATTGGTACATGTAAACATTCAAGCCTAGGGCTTTTCTTGTATTGAGATTAGAACTCATATTTTTGAATCCAAGTGTTGGCTTGGAAAGATGTAAGCCTGTAGGGCGTTTGATTCGATGTTACATGTAATGCTTCATTTAGTAATACTCTGATGAATGAATTAATTAATTGTCTTCTTTAATTAATGCATGTCAATGATATATTTAATGGGTTAATTTTGAGGGCGTTACAAATTTGTTTTGAATCTGCCAGCATGTTTGCCCGAATTTTTAGACAATTTTATACTCATAATTTCGAGATGATTTCTTCTACAAAGTTGTTGGTAATGATGTCTAGTTCATCCAAAAATTTTGGTAACAATTTTTGAGCTTTCTACGAATTTATACAAAATTTTAACTAAATCTAAAACTGTGTTGAGAATAATCTGTTTTGAATCTGCCAGAATGTTGCCTGAATTTTTAGACAATTTTATATTCAAAATTTCGAGATGATTTCTTCAACAAAGTTGTTGATAATGATGTCTAGTTCATCCAGAAAGTTTGGCAACAATTTTTGAGCTTTCTACGAATTTATAAAAAATTTTAACTAAATCTGAAACTGTGAGACAGATTTTACTATGTATTTGAAAATTTATTTAAAATTCTATACTAAGCCAAATCTGGTAATTTCTAACTAAAAGATGAAATTTGAGAAGTCTAGTTTCATGATAAATGTTTATATTATGGGTTTAATCTATGAATTAATCTAAATGAA